GAGCGGCGTTATGTTGTCAGTGAGAAGCTGCAGCCGTGGCGGGGAGGAGGTTTGGTGTGCTGGTCTTCTGACAAATAATGCTACCTATCAGATTATGCTACCAACAAATCGTCAGAACACCGGCAGAACAATAACAATGTGCTACATGTTTCTTTTCCCCTCATTTTTTCCAATTGACGGAAATCCGTCATAGCGACAGAAAACTTTCATCCCTGAGTAGTATTATCATGTACATAATACTGCACCACAGTAGTATATTTCTGATAATTTCGTTAAGCTAACCCGAATTTATATTTTGATGGGTTGCCATGAGGAACTTGTTTCTGTAGGTTAATGTAAATTATATGAAGATACAAACCCAATTCCAAAAAAGTTGGGACACAGTACAAATTGTGAGTAAAAAAGGAATGGAATAATTTACAAATCAGTGGTAAACATGGCCTTGTCCCAACTTTTTTGAGATGTGTTGATGCCATGAAATTTAAAATCAACTTATTTTTCCCTTAAAATTATACATTTTCTCAGTTTAAACATTTGATATGTCATCTATGTTGTATTCTGAATAAAATATTGCAATTTGAAACTTCCACATCATTGCATTCTGTTTTAATTCACAATTTGTATGTGTCCCAACTTTTTTGGAATCGGGTTTGTAGTTTTACTCCAATGAAACTGTCAAATGCTCATGAAGTGACTCTTACAGGGAGTCAGAAGCAGTTCTGGAGATGTTGCTCATGTATTTATGTCTTCATGTAGTGAGATGACAGAAGCTGAAATCACCGCAAGCGTTGCACACTTTGTATGTGTAGAAAACCAAACCGCTCGTCTGTGCCATATACATACACAGACACGCAGAACATGCTGGATTCATATTTAAATAGTATTTTTGCGGCTTAATATTTACAGATACTAGTCCATATTGCGACTATTTAAGTGTACTGACCTACTTTTGATTAATTCATCCAAACGTTGACAAATTCCGTGACATTCCGCGTCATACAGTAAATTCACCGATAATCATAAAAATGCTTAATATCGGCACCGATAATCGGTCGACCCCTAATCACGTTTATACTTTTAAGCCTCCTGCCATTGTTTACATCTGTTCAAAATCACGACATTTAAAAAAACAAACTGTTGTACGGAAAGACCGTGTGTGTGTGTGTGTGTGTGAGAGAGACACTCGCACTCTCTCTTTCCTTATGTGTGCATGTGCACACATCCTCGTACCTCACCGCTCCAAACTTAATCCGGGAAAGGTGAACATTCCTGCATCATAACTTGGACTGAAAGATTAATGTGTAGAAAGTGAGCATGTCTCCAAAAACCTTGTTGAGCTGCAGGTATAATGACTGAATTTTTTTATTTTTGTTTTTAAAGAAATTATGTTTTGATTATATTTTTGATTATTGAGCTGCAGGTTTAGGCTCACTTAAGTGACTCCTTTTTTTTCTTTCATTTATTGGGATTTTTTTTTTTTTTACAGAAAATAATGTATTTATGTTCTGATTATTGTTGAGCTGCAGGTTTAGGCTCACTTAAGTGACTGCATTTAATTAAGAAGAATTTCATTATTTATTCTAATTATTTAGCCTGACATGTTTACTGTTCCAAAATGTTCTCTGTTTCTTAAAAATAAAATGTGTTCAGTGGAAAAAATAAGTTTTTTTTACCCAGACATTTAAAAATAACATATCTTAGAGCTGTAATCGCAATACCGTGATACCGTGAAACCGTGATTTTTTTAAAATCTAAGGTTATCATACCGTCAGAATCTCATACCGGCCCATGCCTAGCAGACACACACATATACATGTTCCTGTCCCTGAACTCTGTGTACTAAAACATCTGTTGCTGTAATTCATGTAGACACTATATATAGATCAGAAATTTAATCAAATAAAACTTCCTTGAGTCCTTGAACAGTTTTGCTGTATAGCAAACCCCTTTACTTTTGGCTGCCAAATGCTTGATCTTGAAAAGACATTCAGCAAAGTGCCCATTAATTTCTGTACAGCCTTGCAGTGGAGATCATTTCTCTATTGTGCTGCATTAGGTAGTGCAGGCTATAGTCTTATTAACTTAGGTAACATAATTTGAAATAACTTTTTTTTAAAAACATTCAATTTATAGGAATAAATACAATTTTACATTATCCTAGATTTTATCGTGACACTTTTAATAGGCGATATGGAAATAAATTAATCTTCTTATTTTATAGTTTTGTTAGAAAATATCATAAGAGTAAGCAACATAACAACAACATATCTTTAGCTGTTGCAACAAATCTCAGAAATTATGGTGTGTAACTGGTCATGGTTATTTTGGTGTTAAGTAAGGCAGGGTTAAAAGTGCATTGGTGAGTGTGAATTATATTTTTAATTTCAGAGTGGTGCGTCACTAAAATAAACCATGTTATTGACGGTTGCCACTGCAACGGAAACCCAGTCCTCACCAACTTTAATGCCTAAGAAAGCAATGTCATTATTCCAGCAGAGGACCTCTTGTATTTTCTTATGCTAGAGAAGTAAATAAGAGCTTTTTAGTGATTCATTTTTCCATTCAGCACTGCAGTAGTCATACCTTTCTGGTGTGTGAACGTCATGTTTGATGTAATGCCATACACAGTGTACGTCTAGGAACAAAAACTGGTAATTTGTCAGTTTCCATTCTGAGCTCTATGAGATGCTCAGTAAAGGAATGAGGTTAAAGGTATGGTAGAAACCCACTATAGACCTGCATGCTGTCTCTTCTCATACCCAAACTTTTCATACCCAAGAGAGTAGATAACACAGCAGCTACAAAGGAAGATCCAGAAGAAGCAGCAAGAACAGAAACTGCATTCTCCACTCCCTAGTGAAGCTCAGGCCAGGAGGGCAGATGGGGGCATAACTCATGGGGTAGGGACAGGCATACCCTGTGGAAGTCCTGCTCTTCTCTCGCCTCAACCTATTGGGATTGTGGTTGCAGCTGTTTCCAGCCCTATCACGGTAAATTATGACTTTTACACAAAATAAAAAAATTACAAATGACATTTTAAAGGGATAGTTCACCCAAAGCTGAAAATTCTGTCATGAATGCAGGAACACACCCTCGTGTTGTTCCAAACCCGTAAGACCTTTGTTGAAATCTGACCCTGCATAGACAGCAACACAACTGACATGTTCAAGACCCAGAATCGTAGTAAGGACATCTTTAATATTGTCCATGTGACATCAGTGGTTCAACCTTAATTTTATGAAAGTACGAGAATACTTCGAGAATACGCAAAGAAAACTAAAATAATGACTTTATTCAACAATTTCTTCTTCTCCCTCTCAGTCTTTGACATGCGTTCACAATAGTAGCACACTTGCAAATAAGGCACAGTGCATCAGCGTTCTATGTTAGAACGCCAGCTCCTGCGTTAGCAGCATCACATGCATGCGTGGTACTGTTATGAATGCATGTCAAAGACAGACAGGGAAGAAAATAAATTCTTGAATAAAGTCGTTATTTTTGTTTTCTTTGCGGACAAAAAGTATTCTCATAAATGAAATTAAGGTTGAACCACTGATGTCACATGGACGATTTTAACAATGTCCGTACTTTCTGGGGCTTGAACGTGTCAGTTGCGTTGCAGTCTATGGAGGGTCAGAAAGCTCTCGGATTTCATCAAAAATATCTTAATTTGTGTTCCAAAGATGAACGACGGTTTTAGGGGTTTGGAACGATATGAGGGCAAGTAATTAATGACAGAATTTGAATTTTTTTGGGGTGAACTATCCCTTTAATTTAATGTTTAATTTATACTTATTATAAATTATATATAATAATTTATCATTATTCTTTGACTAATATTTCTCATTTCTCCTTTTTTGTATTTCCTGCAGGTTCAGAGGAGCAGGCAGTTGTTGTCTCCTAGTCCTGTTCCCATGGGAGCTACAGACAGCAAAGTTCATCCTGTAAACTTTCAAGTAGTTACCCAGTCAGTGCAGCCTGTGAAGCAGTGCCCCAAGACACCTCATAATATCTCGGCTAGTCCGATAAGCGATCGGTCAGCCCGTTATCGGTATGCCCAAATCCTGCCCAAGCCATCTGCCTCAAGTGGCATAACCCTGCACTCACCAACATTGCTTATCACCAACAGCCCCATCAAGACGGTAATGTCAACTCCGCATGTCAGTTCGGTCAATGTAGTCAAGATGACGACCATATCTCTGGGCTTGAATAGCAGTGGGATCAGCACACCTGCTGATACACCTGCCAGCAACAAAGTCAGACCCGCATCTGCTGGAGTTGCCAGCCTCAATGACGATCCACAGCCAGTTACGCGTGTTCGCAGTGGGTCTATAGCTGCAATGCCATCTATTTTGGCAAGGTCAGGGCGCTCAACATCCACGATCCCTGCCATCAACACTAAAACAAATACTGAACCCATAATTGGAAGTGGTCAAGAGCACGGTGGTACGAGTAGACTGGCAACCACTCTGGACACCTTTGGTGGTGTACAGTGGTCAGGGATATTCAAACCCAGAGTGGCTAGCGTACACACTCCTCTTGACAAGGGCTCTCTGGGATTGGACACTTTAACAGGGACCAAATGCAATGAGAGGACACTCCTTAGTGTCAATACTGCTGGCAGCAATAATACGTCCAACACTAATGAAAGCACTTTGTACCAGAACACAAGTAGCACTCAGTCAAACAGTGGTAATACGGTTTTGACATCACCCAAAGATGCAGTGTTGGCATCCAAGAGCCCTCACAAAAGACCTGGCTTATGCACTGATTTGAGCCCAACACCTGTTAAAAAAGCCCACATTTCTGTGCTACCAGCAGGTGGATCCAATGGACTGAAGTCGAATGTAATGGCGAAGCAAATTCCAAGATCAAGCACTCCTATAAGGCCAGAAAGTGCACTTCTCACAGCCACAGGCAAAGCTACTGCATGTCTGGTCAGGAATACTGGCTTCCAGACAGTTCGCAGGCCTCAAAGCATCTCCCAGGGAAGATGGCAAGGAGCTTCATCAGTAAGGGATTATAAAGTTTCTGTCACCTCTACAGCAAGTCAGGATACTTCAGTGGGGAATACCATGTTTCAGACTGTTTGCAGACCTCGAAGCATCTCCCAAGGGAGATGGGAAGGATCTTCAACAGGTGTCGAAGTTAGAGCTGTGGTCACCCGAACTGTTAGCGCTCCAGGTCAAGCTTTGCTACAACAAGTAACCAAAAACTCACAGGATTTGCTTATAGACCAGTCTGACTCTTCTGCAGCATGTGAACCGAAGAGTGTATTTTGGGATAGTGAGCTGCAACAGGGTACTCAACAACATCAGGAAGTTTATGGCCCGCAAATGGTGTCTGAGCCAAAACAAATGTCCACCCCAGTGATGGAGCCCCTTCCTGCAATTGCTCAAGCCTCTCCTTCCAACCAGCAGGCTCAAATGAGTGACTATGGAACCCAGGCCAACCTTAGCTACTTTCCATTTGATGATGACATGACCCAGGATAGCATTGTTGAGGAACTTGTACAAATGGAAGAGCAGATGAAAATTAACAATAGCATACAAAGTTTCAGCAACTGTGTGGATAATTCACTGCAAGGCCAGCAACAAACCATGCAGACTACCATGATGTCTTCCCTCCAGACCAACACCATGTATTACAGCTCTGCTCATAGCAGCAGCACCCCAATCCAAACACCCACTCCTACACCTACTCCTACTTCTGAGATGATAGGAAGTGGTCACGGTATGATGCACGAAAGCCCCTGTTCACGCTTAGCCCCAACCACTCCGGTCGATAGCGCTCTTGGAAGTAGTCGACAAACACCTATTGGCACGCCACACTCCAACTGCAGCAGTAGTATCCCACCAAGCCCTGTGGAATGCAGGAACCCTTTTGCCTTTACTCCTATTAACTCCAGCATCATTGGATACCACGATGGAAGTACCGTCTCCTCAAGCCCTGTAAAGCCTATGCAAAGACCAATGGCCACACATCCAGATAAGACTAAACTGGAATGGATGAACAGTGGGTACAGTAACAGTGGTGGGAACACCAACAATGGCATTAGCATTCTGCCCACCTACCAAGACCTAGTAGATGACCACTTTCGAAAGCCTCACGCTTTTGCCATCCCGGGCCAGACCTGTCAGTCTCAAACCAGACATCATGACACTCATATCAGCCGCCTGACACCCATTTCGCCCATCCAACAGCAAGTAGCAAGCATGGCTAGCCTCAACAAGAAAGAGGGTTTTGCTGTTCCAGCACCCCTTGACAACAGGGCCAGCTCAGGGTCTGGAACATTTCGATGCCGCAGCGTTAGCCCAGCAGTCAGGCAGCGCAACTTGAGCGGGACCCAAAATCCCAATGTTCCCCACTCTGTGGTCTCTCCTTTCAACTCACCTGTAACACCTGAAGTGCTAAACATCTTCTCTAACAGTGACCCTGATTCAAGCATCAGCAGCATGGCACAGAGGAGTCAGTCTGTTCCAGTCACAGTGATGATGCAGTCTGAGGTTCTACCCATGCAAGCAGGCCAGCAGATGAATACCAAAAACATCACCAATGTCCTCATCAACAAAATGGATGGCGATGGAGATGACTCTGTGCGTGGCATCGGAATCAACAACATGCCATCCAACTACACTGCCCGCATGAATCTTACCCAGATTCTGGAGACCACCACAGTGCTCAGCTTTCCTGGTAGTGCCAGCCACCATGCTCTGATCTCGCCTTGTTCATCAGCCTTTGAGTCCCAGAAGCCTGGTTACCTCATGAAAAATGCCAGAGAGGAGCCAATGAGCTTCTCTGTAGATGAAAGCCAAGCACAATCAGCCTCAGGGGAACATCAGCCGCCACAACAGCAGCAGCACTTAGGCAGACGGCAGCTCCTTGGGCAGGAACAGCAGAGTCAGGCAATGCTGTTGCCTCTACAGCAAAACCTCCAACAACTTCAGCACCAGCAACCCTTGGATTTAGACAGAACTGTTAAAGATCTTTTACATGAGGAAAGCTTGAATGCTGGCTCACAGCTTGTGGGTCAAGGATCAGAGCTCAGTGCTGGGAGTTCAGAGTTTCCCAGTGATATGCGACTAACCTCTGAGCTTACCGGTAGCATAAATGACTTAAATACATTGGACACCAACCTTCTTTTTGACCCCAGTCAACAGCAAGGACAATATGAAGACTCGACACTGGAAGAACTGAAGAACGACCCACTTTTTCAACAAATATGCAGCGAGACTGTGAATTCTGCAGGCTTTGACTGGTTGGAGAGCAAAGACCAGGCAACAGTGGAAATGTTGGGTTAATTTGTGCTTTTGTGTTGTTTTGCTACTTGGATGGGTTTCTATGTATGTATTTTTGATATCTCATCAACGTATGTATTCGTCTTGTCGTGCAGCACCTACTGCTATAAGCCCCTGGATGTCACAACACAGGTCCATATTGAAGTGCCAGGCTTAACAGAAATTATTGCCCTTTCAAGATTGCTGGTTCTTTGTCTCAATGGTTAGTGAGAAACAGGCTAAACTAGAAGTACTGTCACATTTTTCCTGCTCTTTCTCACCAGTTTTGCAAGAAAACACGTCAGAGCTTTACATAAGAAGTCATCTGAGAAATGTTTATGCCTCTACACTGTTTTGTGCATTCAGTGACACAACTTATATATAACCCTTTGAACATTTTGCAGTAAAAGGGCATTGTATGGAATATTGGAAAATAACTTATTTTTAACCCTTTATCTTAAAGAAAAATATTTGTATTTTGAGGTTACACCAGTTATATGAGGTACTGTACCTCATCTAATTAGCTTTTTCACTCTGTAACCGTTGTTAATTTGAAAAATGGCGGTGACGCAGATGTGGTGTTTACAACTTACCTTAATTCGCCTCGGTAAAAACAGATAAACTTTGTTTTTAATATCCTCCTCCTTTTTTTCTCTAATAGACGCCTGCTGTACTTACTCCTCAAACATTGAACAAAATAAAACAAGTAAAAGCATTTTTTTTTTCAAATTACTTTCCAAATTTAGAAATAATTTTCCTTCATTTAAGTAGTGTGAGAGCGCAACGATGCTCTAAATGTGTTGGCATAGCAACGTGATACTTCCGGTTTCCTTTTCCCTTTCCTTTTAATTCTAGGTTGAGGACACTCCGTATATGCATCCTACAGAGGAGACGACCTCCGGAGGGCGCAGCCTTCTAAATCATAATAAATACCTAGACGCCTCATTGGCTGCTCGACCGCACGTCAACGTCGCCGCCATATTGGTGAAGGCAACTCTCGGGACAGGCGAAAACATACCCGACTCGTCGGCAGCTTGGGCATCTACAAACCGTCGCACAATAATAAAAACAGACCTCGGGGTATTATCTTTCACAGGTAAGACCGAACAGTTGTTTCTGTATGTTTTTTGGTCATTTTTAGCTTTATGTTGACGGCTTAATTAATAGCCACCAGTGTCAGATTATTAATAGCTAGTAAAAGTTTAAATGAATTCTTAAGTTTTAACTTTATATTGTAGTTTATATCATAAAGTAAATTGTGTTATGAGCACAATATGTACAGTGAGCACTTTGACAAGACAATGCCAGACTGTCAGGATTAAGGATGGAGCTAAATCACCTCTTTAATTTCACTAACGTTACTTATTTACAAAGTGTAAGTTTATCATCACTTGATTATAAGGATTTCATAGCTTATCATAAATCTGTGGACTTATATATAATTTTTTTTTAGCCAATTACAAACAGGACAATGCAAGCCTCAAGGAAAGCTGAAGAAAGCCTGTTCTCTGCATTTCCAATGTTAAAACCCAGAATAGCCCTGAATGAATGGCCAGAATTACCTTGGTCATATTCTAACCACACACTTTTTCTCCCCCCTCTTACTTGTTTAATAATTATTACACAATACTATTATAAAACTACATTTCATATTCACTTTACTACAACTTGTACTACATATACTTTTTAAGATTACAAATCACCTTTACTGTGCACTGTATCATATTTTACCACTGTAACTGTAAGTTTTACTGGATCCATAAAGGATTATCAGTTGCATTGGTTATTGTTTGTTGTGGAGTTTATCTGTATAGAGTGTTATCAAAATAAAAAGCAGACTACCAAGAGTGTCACTTTTTGATTTGTATTTGCTGGTTTTATTCAATTTTCTCAATGATGGTAAATTATTAGTGCTTAAAGATGTATTATTTAGATTTTCTTCCAGTATTTCAAAGGGAATGAGCTGTGTTCTGACCTGAAGCACAAGAAAAGCTCAAATGTTGGGGTTGAAGACAGAGAAAGCAATGAAACAACTTAATTTCATTTAATGTACATTCAAATGACAAAATATGTATATGTCACAGTTAAACTACATTAACATTAGAATTGTAAACCGAAAAAATCAATCAAATCAACAAGTGAGACAAGTGTTTTCGCAATTTCTTACGAAACTTAATAATTTTCCAAACCTAACTAAATAACTGGAGGCAGAGTTATTTTTAACTCCATGTAGATCACAAACCTCTGAAATCGGTTGGTAAATGTAAACGTTATCGTGTTTTTATCCAGAAAAAAAACGCAGCTCCCCCGCTTACCTCCATTTATTTTTAAGGCAGTCTTGCCTTCACAAACATGGCGGACGCGTTGACGTATCGCAGCAACGGCTCAAAGCGGCCAATGAGGCGTCTAGGCATTTATTACGTCTATGTTCTAAATGAGACGCAGCATGTCATTGTGTCGCCAAAAACTATTCTAGCTAGCCCACCTCACTTACTAAAAGAATGTAATATTGCATTATTTAAACTCATTTGGAAAAATAAGTGTCACTATATTAACAAAAATTATTTGGTTCACAGTTATGAAGAAGGGGGATTAAATGTTATTGACTTAGAAATAATGAATAGTGTTTTAAAAACTCAATGGTTAAGATAATTTCTTTGTAATACAAACTGCTTATGGTTTACTGTCTCTTCTTCAATATTTGGGAAAGTAGGTGGCTTGGAATTTTTGATTAGATGTGACTTTGATTTGTCCAAATTACCTCTTAAATTGTCTGCATTCCATCAACAAGTTCTCCTGTGTTGGAAATTAGCATTTTCTCACAACTTTAGTCCACACAAAACTTGTATTTGGAACAATCGTTTTATTTTGCACCATAACAAATCTTTATTTTATGAAAACTGGTTTCAATATAACATTTTTTTCCTATTGGACATGATGGACAACTATGGTAATGTTCTCAATTACAATGATTTTTGTTTAAAACATGGATTTGTATGTCATCCTAAAGAGTTTTACAATGTTGTAAATGCCATACCAAAAAACATGGTATTATTAGTAAAAGGGATTCTTTCACATTACTCTGTGACATTCTCTCTCCCATCTCCTTGTCTGGGTCAATTGTTTATTAGAGATCATAAATGTAACAACAAATATATTAGAAGTGTCTTCATTGATAAACTTCATCCAAATAGAATTAAACGATATTATATTTTCAAAGATTTTAACCCCAAAGAGGTGAAGGAAATGAGAATGAATTATCTGACCTTTCCAAGTCTTCCTAAAGTGAAAGAACTTCATTTTAAAATAATAAATGACATATACCCTTCTAAAGAATTTCTCAAATCAAAATTTGATATTGGAGAAAACTCTTGTCAATTCTGTGAAATTGATATTGAAACCACTGAACATATTTTTTTTTATTGTAATTACTCAAAGTTGTTTTGGACTCAATTGTGCAGTAAAATGTCATGTATAATTACATGTGTAAATCCCCTTGAATATAAACAAATTAAGTTTGGTGTCCTTAAGAAAGACTGTTCACAACATTACTTGGTTAACAAACTTTTTGAAGTTGCTAAATACTTCATTCATAAATGCAGATTTCTGAAAACCCCTCCATCCTTTCCTCACTTTTCTAATGAACTTAACATTTTTGCTGCTTCTCTTGATGCCCTTTCAAATGAAAAAGCTACTACAGTTGCCAGTTTCTTCAGTGAGGTAAGTACCCTATAACTCCTTGCTACCCCTTGTAAGAACTTACTATTCTATAAATGCTTTTACTATTATTTTTTATTTTAATTTATTTAATTTTTTATCCTTTTCTGTTCTTCATTGCTCTTCATGATTGTACATTTAATGTAAAACATCACTGTTACGTATTGTAATTGCAACTATGTCTACCTTTGAGAATTGTTAATATTTTTAATAATAGTTTATTCAATGCCTATTTTGTATGTACATTTGTTTACTTACTATTAAAAAAAAATAAAAATAATAATGTCATTGTGTCGCCTGGCAATGACGTCATAACCCCTCGATTTCCGGTTTTGTTTTGTAGAAAACATGGAAACACCAAAGACGCTTTAATATGTTGTGCGTTTTATTAGACCGATGACGACTGCACAGAGTAGCATTATAACAGGAACTTTCAAATGTATCTAGTATGATAAAACAGCGCTGCTTTTTCCCCACATACACACGACCGGAAGGAGCGGAAGCGGTCGACTGTGGTAAATAATAAAAGCTCCGCTGCTTTCGAGCCGTGTGCCACGCTCTTCCAGCGGCCTCGTTTCGCTTCGACGGCTTTCAGCCTCACCCTGCTTCTTTCTACTATGTTAACAAATCATTAGCTTATCCATGAACATGATTTCTGCCCGAGTCCCGTCGGATTGCAGGCTGTGGGGATGAAGACCACAACTCCCATGATTCCACACTCAGTCACACATCATCAAACTACGCCTTTGTCTCTTTGTTTGTTTTGAATACGCGCCCTCTAGCGGCAAAAATTACATATTGTGCCTTTGACAGGGATTTATGAGAATTATTTAACAAATATGTACCTATTAAATATATAGGGATATAGTGTTTACAGAAGCACTGTGTATTTCATGGGAAGTAAAAGGGAGATTCTCCTTTGGCTGATGATGAGTCGCTTGCTTTGCATGAAATTTGAACTCAACATACAAACAGACCCATCACAAATGAATAAAGCTTTCACTTGACCAGCAGGTGGCGCCATAACGCACTCCTCATAAACAACCCTTTTCCCATAAACTAACATGCGCGGTCGTCAAGACAACAAACATAGCCTATAAAACGTGCTATTGAATGATGTATTGCTTCTGTGATTGTCTTGAGTGACTCCGTGAATGCGAGCGGCTGAGCTCATATCTCACTGTATTTCCAGCGTGTGACTCACTGAGGACGTCCCCCCAGCTTCGCTCTTTAATTTGACTACAGCCCCAGTTTCACTTCAGTGTTGACAGCGGCGCGTGGCGAGCTAGTCGCTTTTTTTTTTTTAGATGACTATTTGTAACAAACGGGAAACTGCAGTGGAAAGCGAGTTTAACTTTTAGACTTTGTGACCACGGATGAACCATGGCTACAATAACGTGTCGTGTGCAATACCTGGAGGACTCGGACCCATTCGTGTGCTCAAATTTCCCCGAGCCCCGCAGACCTCTGCAGTATGACCTCAACGAGCATTTGCTGTTGAACGAACAGATCGCCGGCATTCACAAACTGCTAGAAGCTCCTTTGAAGGTTAGTCATTTACCTCATGTTGAAGGTGTGTTTACCTGCGCCGAATGCCTGCTAACAAGTGTCAGCGAGGGGAGTTGATTATTTTAGCCATTAAAGCTGCGTGTAACCTCAGACGTTGTGGCTAAAGTTTGTATTGTTTAACAAAAGGCTTGGTTTATTTTGTCATTGAATAGTCCATAGATGAAACTCCTGTTTATGGGGTGGGTATCTATCTGTCTGTCGTAAATGAATGGAATGAGATGCAGAAATGTTACATACCTACCTTTTTCGTAATGGGAGAAAAATCAGCTAGATCGTATGTCCTCGGTAATTGAAATTAGTCAGTTGTATGTTATATAAGTTTGTTATACACATCTAATAGTTCACACAAACACTACAGAAAACATGATATTTGTGCCTCTAATTCTTAAAAAGTCATGGAACACCACAGTGTACTGTATTATTTTAATATATCGCCTGTGTAGAGCAATGTTTGAAGGAAGTAAACGGTCAAATTCAAGACCACATGCCCTCATTGAAGGACATGTGAATGTCTATAGGTTGGGCGGCTCATCATTCACTTGCCAAACTGAAGATGCTGGAGCTTCAACGTTTTAATAATTGCTATGCTGGCGATCAGGACATTATGTAAACGGTGTTAAAATACTGTGAACAAAGGATTCAAAGGTCCATATATGCTGCACTCACTAGAAATGTTTCCAAGTGTCTATTTGTTCACAGAAAGAAAAAAACGTACAAAAAGCTGTCACTTGGACAGTGTCCTTTGTAATAGCACCTTTAAGTATACTAAACTGTACCATTTTGGTACTAATGTGTACCTTTAAGGTACTAATGTGCACTCTTTAGGGATAAGGTACAAAGGTAGACCTTTTCAAAAGGTACCACCCCACTGACTGCTTTTGTACTTTTTCTGTTAGTGTACTTCTGTTTGGCTGTATGATAAAATAAGTATGCATGGGTTTGTGTGTGAATCCTTGAGTGCATGATGTGAGAGAATGTAAGTAACTCTTTGAGAGGGTCGCCAGAATTGCCTGCAGCTTCTGTAAACAGAAGATAAACTCAGCTCCTCAATCAACCCATTATTACAGCACAGCTTCAGATGTGACTCTGTATCAAACACCACCATTCGACAACAATGACCTCTCTTTGTTGTGCTCTAGTTGACGGCTAATGATGGCTGTTTTGTTTTGTATGAGTGCATGTTCATATGCTATAATGTGATTGCGTCTCAAGAGTTACACATTTGAGATTGGATTTTTACTGTAGTTGTGATGTAGTTTGTGTCTTGCCAGATCAAAATGTGTGGGAAGATGACTCGTCTTCCAGTTGCACATTCAAAAAGCATGAAGAGTCTAATATGAAACCGGAATCTGTTTATGTGCTGTGTCAAGTAACAGTGCTAGGCAATGATGTTCTTCTGTCTCTCAGTTAGAGGAGTGTGCACTGCAACTGGCTTCTAATGGCAACTACCTGGATCTGGATTCATCCCTTGCTGAACAGAGAGATGATCTGGAGCAACTCTATGACGACGTGGAGTAAGAATGACTTCATATTTTGCCATCCAATCATCTCTCTCTCTCTTCCCTCTCTTTTCCTTTCACTGTTTACATTTAGCCAGAGATAGAAACTTGCACCTGAGATGCAAAAAAAATAAAAAGACTTAGACCTGTAAGCAACTGACTTCAAAATACAAAGACTCATGAAGAACAAGTCTTTCAGTCTACCAGGGAAAAAAATTCTCAGAGTGTTGTGAGATTGTTTAGATAAAAGGGAGTTTGTCATGTGCACTCGGTCATGAAAACAAAAATGCATTTTTTTTTAACAGAATGGAATTTAGAGGGGTCATATGATGCGATTTCAAGTTTTCCTTTCTCTTTGGAGTGTTACAAGCTGATTGTGCATAGATAAGATCCCTGAAGTTGCAAAGACTAAAGTCACAAACCCAAAGCGATATTCTTTATCAAAGTTAAGACTCTGCCACGCCCCCCTAAAACGGCTCGTTCTAACACGCCCCCACATGTCTACCTCACTATGTGGGAATATTTGCATAATGCGCCCAAATGTGCACGCAAAGAAAGAAGGCGTGGTTTCAGTAACCGCAGTTAGTGTTGAAGCAGCCATGTCAGGGAGATGCTGTGTGTTTCTAGGCGAAAGCAAAAGCACTTTATTTGGCCTTCCGAAAGTAGATGCATTTAGGATTCTTTAGGTGTTTGCATTTAGGTGTTTTTTGAACATTAAAGCATGTCAACATATATTCTGTTACACCAAATACACAAAATAATGATCTTTAATAAAGCATCATATGACCCCTTTAAAGAAAGGGGGGGAAAAAAAACAAATTTTCATTAAATTATTATTTTTTTAATTTAACAAAGTTCCTCCCTTGCTGACTTGAATGAATAAACTGTTAATTAAAAGTAGTATTAAAGATTAAATTATTATTAATTCATGAAAAACCTTTTCTACATTGTGTTAGGGTGGAATTAATTAATAATCAGGTAAATCCTTCAAAATAATAACTAATTAAAAATATATATTTTTTGTTATTGGTGTAATCAGGTGTCAAATCTTAGTCTTGATTTGGCCTGGATAGACTTTGACTTGGTTTAATCTAAAGTCAGAGACTTTTGAACATGTCTGCCTCCATCTAACCCTTTTTAAAATTTTTATAACAAATAGGAAAAAACAGCATAAATTGCATAAAAGTGAAGAAATATTTCCATTCTTGGGTCAGTCTGAGTTCTTAGTCATATTCAAGAACCAAATTTAGGAGAATCTTTTATATGGTGAATGTTACTTACACTCTCGCTCTCTCTCACTCTCTCACACACACACACACAGACAGATATTCTTAGTGAGGCCAGAGGGAAGGAGTGGACAACATTAGTCACAGACGCTGGGAACGTGGCTTCATAATGATAGAGCGTTTAGAAGAGAGAGTGGATAAGAAAAGCTTGCAACACACAATCTGGTTTTTGGGATGTGCAACAATGTAAAATTTTGACCTCTTGAGATATTGTTTTGGATGCATTTAACTGCACTCAGCATTAGCTTTTTAAATACAAAGGGTGTTTCAGCACTGCCCTCTCTAATGCTATATTTAGTTGGTTTTTTTTATTACATGGTGTCATCAGAATATATTCATGACTCAAGTGTCTTAATGCTCCTCTTGTAGAACACTTGTATGTTGGCTTTGTAGATCTGATACAAAAGCTTCTTTGAGATTATAAATAAATTCTTAAATTACTTTTTATATTGATTGCTATAACATGGACCACAGAATAAAGAAGTTCGAAACTTGACTTGTTTGTGATGATACAGCTGCTAGGTCCTGTGGGTTGCTTGTGTAAAAAAAAAAAAACAGAACAGGCTTCAGCCAACACACTCTTGTGACATTCGTAACTGTTTTACACTTTGGTAAATTGGTGGCTAATTTGTATGAATTCATACAATCTAATTTGTACATTTCCACATGGTCTGCTCACGCCCAACTAATGGTAAAGTTTAGGGATAGGGTTAGGGGTGTCCTTATTTTTTATTTATTTTTTTTGTATATTTTTAATCCAACCACATTTCAGACTTTTATTTTAGCCTGCCATTGTCAAGGAGGTCTGTCTGACAGAAAAAAAATCAAATCAAAGAAAGAACATTTTCTGTATTGTTTGTAGGTCTCCATCCCGGCACATCCATCCATTTGTTCCTTTGTCAGATGGAACAGAATTTAAACAATGCTGCAGAAACTGATTAATAAGGATCTATGACTTTGGACATATTGTTCTTTCTTCTGTTGTACAAATTTAACAACTTCAGTATGTTTATTATATGACTGAGATCAACTTTTGCACTGGCTAAACTGCAAACAATGCTTGTACTAAATGCACTTATTTTTCAGATGAATGGTTATTTATTATTCATTTATAGTAGGGATGTAACGATTAACTACGAGCCGGTTGAAAATCGATTCAAATATGTGACGATTCAAATTGGTTGAGATGCTAAACAAATCGCGATTCATTTAGGTGTAGGAGTTTATATGAATGCATGTCTGAGGGGAACTTACTGTCTTTAGAAAAGTTTAGATGGTATTTTTTCTTTTCATCTTGCCTCTGTATAATGCATATTAAAGGGGTCATATGATGCGATTTCAAGTTTTCCTTTCTCTTTGGAGTGTTACAAGCTGATTGTGCATAGATAAGATCCCTGAAGTTGCAAAGACTAAAGTCACAAACCCAAAGAGATATTCTTTATCAAAGTTAAGACTCTGCCACGCCCCCCTAAAACGGCTCGTTCTAACACGCCCCCACATATCTACCTCACTATGTGGAAATATTTGCATAATGCGCCCAAATGTGCACGCAAAGAAAGAAGGCATGGTTTCAGTAACCGCAGTTA